AAATTTTTGTGCACTGAGCCTCTAGTCTATATATATAAAAAGCCAGCAACCGGAACACTGGAATAACCAGAATGACTGGTCACTATGATGCCTCCACTGTGGCCAGTGAACCAGCCCAAACAGGGGTGGGGTGGGCAGGCCAACCTCCCAAGGCCTCTCCCACCAGCAGCCCCACCCCGATCAGCCTCTCCCACCCTGATCGAGGGTGGGGTGGCTGCCCCCGCGGTGGGGATGGCCAACCAACCTCCTTCAGCCCCTCCCCCTGGCTGGCCCCATCCCAGATGGGCCCCCACCACCCCGATCAGCCTGCGGCCGCCCCCCCTTAGTCAGTTCCTTCCCTGATCAGCCCCGTTACTCTGATCAGGGGCAGGGCCTGCCAGCCAACCACCCATGGCCCTGTGCCCAGGCTGCTGGCCCCCGATCGACCCCCCCCACCCCATTCGGGAGTGGGGATGGTCGGCCCACCACCCACAGCCCCTCCCCACAGCCAGCCCCATCCCCAATTGACCTCCCCACCCCAATTGGGGGTGGGGCTGGCCGGCCAATGGCCCTCGGCCCCTCCCGCCAGCTGGCCTGGCCCTGATCATGCCCTGATCAGGGCAGGCCAGCTGGCCAACCTCCTGCCGTCTTCTCCTCCTGACAGGCCTGGCCCTGATCTGCCGATTGGAGCCAGGCTGGTCAGACCCCACCCATGCATGAATTCGTGCACTGGGCCTCTAGTTGGTTAATAAAATTATATAGTCTTCAAGAGTACAATTCTCTAATACATCATCTGTATATTGTATTGTGTTACCACCCAAAGTCAAGTCCCCTTCCGTCACCGTTTATCCCCCCTTTATCCTCTTCTACCTCCCCCACCCCCTTTCCTTTAGCTAGGAATTTTTATGTTCAGACCATACTGTGTGGTTATTTTAGGTCTCTGAGTTTGTAAGGCCACCATGCAGGCCTCCCCTGAGCTTGTCAGGTTCAGTATGTTGCCCTTTTTTCATCCACAAATTCAAGGGGTCTTGAGGGTGATTTGGGCAAATGGAGGGTTGTCTGCCACCGTGGGTTAAGTCAGGTCAGAAACTCCCAGAGCTCAGGCATGTGAGCAACGGGGATGGCCTGTGAGGGAGGGGCACTGACTGGAAAGCAAGCTGGCACAGGTGTGCTTGGGGCCTGGGATTTAGCTACAGACTCTGTTCTCACATGGCGCCTTATTTTGAGACAGGGCACTGAGATGTACCCACCCCTACATCAATCTCCCTGCACCTGAGGTTGGTACTCTAGCTTGGCATAAGGCTGCCCTCCGTCTGGTCCTCAGCTGAAACATGAACTCTCCCAAGAGGAAACGTTCTCTGAGCTCAGCGGACTGGGGAGCCATGTCTCCTGTTTTGGTGGGAGGTTGTGCCCTAAGGAGTCTGGAAAAGGAGCCCCTCCCCCTCTGACATTTCAGAGGTATGTTATCTTGGAAGCAACATTTGAACAGGAACTGTCAGAGACTGTGCACATGGAAGTTTGAGAAATGCTGGTTGAGGAGATCCAGCACAAGTGTGGAGAAGGTTCTGAAGGCAGCTGTTAAAGCGGAGGGTGGGTAAAGAACTGAGGTTGGGGTGTTCTGCTCCCTGGCACATAGTAGGTATGTCAGTGTAAGAAAGTCCACACCCACACAGAATTTTTATAAAAATTCATTTGAGCCACACAGAGGATCTTCCTGGAAACAAGACAGGAAGAGACAGAGAAAATGCTTCTGAGAAGGACAGCTTGCAGCTGCTTTTCTGCATTTGGAACTAAGGAAGATTCCATGCAGATGGGAAACAGCGAGGCAAGGATTGGATTACAGGCGAGTTAACAAGATTCTGTGTTCTCTTGAGGGAGGTCTTGCTTGAGGGTTCTGAAGAGAAGCTTTTCAAAGGTGTGTTAACTTAGATGCACGAACAATGGGCAGGGTTTGCTTAAGGCCAGGATAACCTTTTACTAGGGAAGTTACAAGCCTAGGGCATGACTTACCACCGTGACCTGTATGATCAGATCACCCTTTGGAGTTACTTCTACAGAATCCCCCTCTTCCCCCCTTTTTCTTACCCACAGTACTTCATGACTTTTTGTGTGAGATCAAGTGTCTTGGCTTGTGACTAGGCCATCAGTGGCCAATGGGAATGTAGGAAACTGGCCCAGCACCTCCAGGGAACATTGAGTGAGCCCAGGAGC